GCTGGCCAGGCACCCCAGTGGGGACCCCCATCCTGATCCAGGACACCCTTCAGGGCAACCCAGCCAGCCCCACCCATGCACCAGGCCTCTACCCTGTATAGTAAAAGGGTAATATGCCTCCCAGCACCAGGATCAGTGGAGCCCCGAGTCCTCCCGGCCCGGGATGAGTGTGACAGGGAGTAGCGCCCAAACCCCCTGATCACCGTGCGGCTCTGTGTGTGACAGGAGGCAGGGCCACAACCTCCCTATCCAACCTGCTCTGTTCGTGACAGGGGAAGGCGCCCCAACCTCCTGATCAGCCCTGCTCTGTGCCTGATACAGGGAGCTCCCCAACCTCTGATCGCCCTGCAGCTCTGTGTGTGACAGGGTGCGGCACCCCAGCCCCCTGATCGGCCCTGCTCTGTGGGTGACAGGGGGCGGTGCCCCAACTCCCCTATCAGGACTACTCTCTGAGTGACAGGGGGGAGCTCCTCAACCCCCTGATGGGCCCTGCTCTGTGCGTGACAGGGGGGAACTCCCCAACCCCCTGATCGACCCTGCTCTGTGCATGACAGGGTAAGGAGCCCCAACCCCCGGATTGGCCCTGCTCTGTGCGTGACAAGGGGTGGCGCCACAACCTCCCCATCGACCCTGCCTTGAGTATGACAGGGGGCAGTGCCCCAACCCCCCAACCGGCCCTACCCTGAGCGTGACTGAGGGTGGCATCCCAACCTCCAGATCTGCCCTGCTCTGTGCATGACAGGGGGGCGGCACCCCAACTCCCCAGTCGGCCCTGCTCTGAGCCCGACCAGGGGCTGCACCTAGGGATTGGGCCTGCCCTTTGCCACTCGGGAGCAGGCCTAAGCCAGCAGGGCGTTATCTCCCAAGGGGTCTCTCAAGAGGGCAGAGGCCAGGCTGAGGGACCCCCCCTTCCTCCCGAGTGCACAAATTTTTGTGCTCCGGGCCTCTAGTATGTTATAAAACAGAACTCAATGACTTAAGAGAAAAAAATGTATACAAGTAATCCAGATATCAGAACTTTTTGGTAGGGATTCTAAAGTTACTATAGTTAATATAGCTAATAAATTTAAAAATAAAATATTTTTTTTAGAGAGAAATGAAAAACTTCAGAATTGAGAAATATTTTTAAAGCAATTCAACAGAAAGACCCCATGACCTAATAATTTCAAAATATATAAGCAAAAAGGAAATTTTAATATTTTTAATATGTATAGCCTTTTAGTTGAAAGGCTAGTTGAAAATGTCATATCCTCCTGAACAACTAATAGAATAAGTAGGTAAAAAATAGTAAGAACATAGATTTGGAAAACATGAGGTTAACCAACTTGGCCTAGGTGACATTCATAGGACACCACAAGCAAATGTTACAGAATACAATCTTACATATGCACATGGAACATTTATCAAAATACTCTATAAACCAGCAATAAACAATTCTCAAAATTTCACACTGACATTATAAAGTGTATGCTCTTATTCAAGGAAATTAAAATAGAAAGCAACAAGAGAAAGATAACAATAAATTCCCAGATGTTTGGAAGGTAAGTAATATACTTCTAAAAATCCCATGTATCCAAGAAGAAATCAGAATGGAAATTACAGAATATTTTGGGTAACCCAGAGTAGCCTGTAAGAGACTAATTTATTAGAATATTTGTGGTGTATACTTCAAAAATTATTGAGATTTTGCATTCTTCAGCTTCAATGGTGTTTTTTTTATAATAAAAAATGTTTTGAGATGTCACCTACTCTAAAGGACTCTCAAATCCATTGAGAAACAAAAAAAGATTGAAAAAAATACACTGCTGAATAAATACATGTGTATAAAAAGAGGGGGCACTGGAGAGATACCCACCAAACTTCTGATGATTTTTATTTCTGGGAGGAAGAGGAGAGAAACTGAGTTAAGAATGTGAGGGTAGCCAAAACCGGTTTGGCTCAGTGGATGGAGCGTCGGCCTGCAGACTGAAGGGTCCCGGGTTCGATTCCAGTCAAGGGCATGTACCTGGGTTGCGGGCGCATCCCCAGTGGGGAGTGTGCAGGAGGCAGCTAATCGATGTTTCTCTCTCATCGATGTTTCTAACTTTCTATCTCTCTCCCTTCCTCTCTGTAAAAAATCAATAAAAATATATTTAAAAAAAAATAAAAATAAAATAAAAAAGAATGTGAGGGTAAATGAAGAATGGGGAACTTTCATAATAATTCTAAATAGCCCAAGTCTTCTATACAGCATTCCTCAGTGAGTCGGGGCAACGTTTTTATCTAAGCAATCCTATACAATAAAGAGGTGATATGCAAATTGACCATCACACCCTCGCACAAGATGGCCGACTCCATGTGGTCAAAAGATGGCCACCACAAGATTGCCAGCAGGGGAGAGGTGTTGGGGGCGACCAGGCCTGCAGGGAAGGGCAGTTGGGGGCGACTGGGCCTGCAGGGGATGGCAGTTGAGGGCAATCGGGCCATCGGGGGAGGGCAGTTGGGGGGGACCGGTCCTGCAGGAGAAGGCAGTTGGGGGGGACCAGGTGGCAGGGGAGAGCAGTTAGGGGTGACTAGGCCAGCAGGGGAGGGCAGTTGGGGGTGATCAGGCTGGCAGGGGAGGGCAGTTGGGAGCAATTAGGCTGGCAGGGGCGCAGGTAGG